GACATGACGGCTTCTTCTACCCTCTGGCTACTGCATAGAAGACCGATGAGAATGCTCTACCGCCTCAAAATAGCTTGGTCGCAACTTGACAGCACGGAGCCAATGGTTTAGTGCTTCCTCACGTCGATCGAGAGCAAAAAGTGTAGCCGCAAGATTAGAAAATCGCTTCAACATGCCTTTTAGAGAAATATATGTTAGAATATTGAAGACAAAATGTGTTCCGGCTATAATAATGAGGATAGATTGGCACGTACGAAGCATCCTTATTGATAATCCGAGTATACCACCTAAGCGCTTTATCATAATCCCCAAGACCATAGGCCAGGCATCCACCGACCAGCATTCCATCAATCCATTCCCCCCCACTCTCAACACAAAGGCTGGACAGAATTTCCAGGGCACACACAGCATTCTCCATCACAGAGGCCTCACTGTACACAGCAGGACCTGAAGAACGACGTATCGTGCGGAAATGATCAAGGGAACGGCTCTCCGGTAATCGATGACTGGGGTGTTGACCGAAAGGAGCGCGGTCAACATGGTAGTTGCGAACGAAATTGTTATCAGATACCGCAGAGTGGTTCGGAGGAAATTGCTTCCCATCGATCTGATTTTCTAGAGTCATACCCACCTGTCGCCCATGGGCTAGAGGGAAATGTTGGCTTGGAATGGGAGTCCCATGAGTATTATCGAGAGTAGCGTCAACGTTTCCAGCATGTGAGCTGAAGTCAGAAGCAGGTTGTCGGGGGGGTTTAGGGTATATATTCGGTTTTGGACGAGCATCACTATCTTGTACCCCCAGCGCAGCGTTTTTCCTTCGAGTATTATGAAGTAACGTAAGTAGGTCGACATACACACTGTGCGCCCATGATAAAATCTTCTCTTTAAACTCAGTATTCTTGGGTCTCGAAATAATATCTGCAGCTGAACCCTGAAACACATTAGGTTGCTGGGGCGCTTGCCAGTTGAGATTTTCTAGTTCGGTTGGTTTTGGTTTATGTTGATGTTGATGTTGATGGTGTTGGGGTTGGGGTTGCTGTTGTTGAGGGTGTTGATGTACAGTATCATGTCGTGTATTTTGCAACGATCTTGTATGGTAAGGGACACTATTCTGGTCCCAGAGCGTATCTATCTGATTCTGATGTGAAAGACGAGGGGGGAAAGACTCCAGGGCAGCTGGGTCCGAATTATACAAGTGATGGAGATTTCGTTGTGGTGGCTGTGCCGGAACAGGATTCCATGAGAATCCCGGTGTAAGC